GAAGATGTCGCGTCTGCAGTTACATCACTGGCCGTCCCGCACGTTTGTGACATGACATCTGCCTGACTGTTTGCAGATTATCTGGGCCGTTCCCACGTGGCACGCACCCAGGGGATTACCTCCAGAAAAACAAACTCCACATCTACATGGTGCTATAGAGTCACACACTGTCAAATGTGTCATGTTTTCATAGCAATCCATATAGCCCAAAATCACAGAACTTGACTAAATATTTAATTCCCTCAAATAATATAAATGGTAATTAACGGTCATTGGTCATTAAACGTGTAAAGTGGAATTTTCACAGCTTGTTTGTCTCTTTTTGTGTTTGAGTAGTTTTCTCCACCGCCAAGAAAAAAATATCTGCTGTTTGCTAGCTTGATCGTTAGTGCAGCGATGCCTTGGTTGTGACCACATTTGACTGGCGATCCAAACAAGGGGACTGAAAACAGGACTTTGCGGTTTTTTCGAGTAGATTTTTTGAAACAAAACTGTTAGGTTAGTTTTTTTAACCTTTTGTTTAGATTGACTCAAAACTGAAACGAAGTCTTGTAATTGTAGACTGATAAATATTTTGTGTTTAAATGTTTCCAATTGCGTGTTTGGTTCACATTTTACAATACATATAAATGATGTGGGTTTGGTGGGAGACAATTGATTGTAATATGGGGTATGAGATGTCATGGGACCTCTTGCTGTCAATGCTGCAAATCTAATGAATTTCAGGGGCCACAAAAATAGTCTCTCATTTGGGGCCTTTAGTGTTAGACACCTATGACCTAGAGTGATCCCTTTTCGTCAGACGTTCCATATGTACATTGTACTAATCCAGTTAAACTCACAAGGTTTGGCATGAAGATCCATCTCCTGTAACATGACAAAAACTGTTTTCTTGATAAAGCTTTTAACTCAAGTGTCTTGTTAATGTGTATTTATCCCACAACATTGGCAGAGATACTGGCCAATGTTGTCGTAAAAGCAGTGATCTTCCTAGGCACTGTCTTTGAGAAGCTGGACTGAGTGATGGCTTTGAACCACTGCCCAGTGTGGGTTTATGGGTTGGCACAGCTCCCTGACGGCATACATGTAGGGATAATGCAATTTGTACAACATGGATACAGGAAAGATTACACCACTCAGTAAGTCCGAAGATTACAGTGGTGCCATCAAGCTTTGCTGTGGTACCCATTATAAAAAACACGAAATTTCTCTCCATAATGTTCAATTAGAAATAAACTATTACTACTTTAATTAATTTATTTTTATTTCGACTTTATTAAGGACTGACATGCAAGCACAGGATCCATATCTAAGAATTTCATCTCTGACAGAAGATGTGATTGGCTTAAGTTGGCATTTCTATGATGAATACCCCTTCATGTTTGTTGTTCAAAATAAGTGTCGAATTCATTTACAATTCAAAATGATAAGTTACTGTTTGTATATTTTATAAAAAGGAGCAGCATGGGCCTATTTGAAGAGCGGCTAATCCACCCTCAATGTGAAACTCACCTCAACGACTACCATTCTATTATGGCTGAATGGATGGGACACCAACCCCGTGACTTAAGCCTATCTCCTAACTAGCCTGATATTTGATTTAAAAAATAAAAAAAACTACATTGAAGAAGAAATATATTTATAAAACGGCCATACAAATTATGGGGATATGATGTTTTAAGATGTGAAATAATAGCTCTATGATTTTATATGGCTATTATGTCTAAGTAGAAAATACATGCTTTTTGCTTGCCTTAGCCCTATGCTACCACCGGAGGGAAATTACAACCATGCGGTTGTAATGAAGGTAATTTCACTTTATACTTTTGTTTTTAAATGCAGAACTGCTCTGAGCACTGTCATAGTGGTACAATGACCTCATACTATCAAAGAACTGAGACGTGAGCATTTTAGACAGAAGGGGCGGAGTTACATGTCTGTGACAGAAGTTCCTGATATTGGCATGGATGGATCTAAAAAACACTCCAGGACCTGTTTTGATGAGGGAACATTGTAACATGGTTAAACACTCTCCTGTCCTGAATGATTGGGTGCTCATCTTTCATCTTGTTACTTGTTTGATTTTTGTCTTGAGTTATTTTTGTCTCACTTTGAAGCTTTTTAGTTGCTCAATTAATAACGACAGCCCTCTGGAGGCGCTGACCTGCTACAGAGCTGCAGCGCTGGCTCTGTTTTTCTATTTATAGCACTTAAAAGGCACCAATCGAATACAAAAGGACATGTCTGGATCGTCTTGAGTGTTGCTGTTTTGTGAAATGTTGACTGCCTTATGCTTAAAGCTGTTGGCATCGCAGCATTGGCTTTTTATGGAGCCTGTTTAAAATTCTGTCTGTGGAATGGAGGATGAGAAATCTAGGGCATTGGTGACTAAAAGGCTGCACTGTATGTGTTGCTCTATGATAAGAAATTGACTTAGTTTCTCATGTATGCCATTCAGCGCTGTTGGTTTTTATCTTTCCTGTTGTAATTTTAGCATTTTATTATGGCCAAATAATTTTAAAGAGTTTTTGAGGGATGTATGTTACAAGGCTTTGTGATTAAATAACTGTATGGTAGTTAGGGCTGTCAGTAAAATACGTTCATCATTGTTAAATTGCGCAATTAAGAGATTGTTTATTCATAGAACAGTAGAAAAGAGGAGCACACGGCACAAGTTAAGTGAACAATAGCTGTACTAATTAAAACAAAAACTCTAACTCTAGCATCAATAACATGTATAAAATCTCTAGCTTTAAAATATTAATAAGAGGTGTAAACATTGATTGACATTTGGCAAAATAAAAGGCAAGTATAAAGTACTGTGTATTCTAGTGCAAGCAATATGTTAGCATCTGTACATTAGTTTACATCTGTACATGTTAGCAGCAGTATGTTTGCTTCTGTACATTAGCAGCAGTATGTTTACATCTGTACATGTTAACAGCATGAGACACAGGGACTCAGTAAAGTGACAGTGATGTGGTTATTGCACATTCTGATAATAGATAAGGATATTGCAACGATGCATGACACGTGGGATCAGGTTGGCGGTGTTCATTAGTCCTTATTGTTTGTTGTACAGTCTGACAGCAGCAGGAAGGAAAGACCTGCAGAACCTCTCCTTCACACATCAAGGGTGAATTAGTCTGCCACTGAAGCTGCTCTCCAGAGCAGAGTGAGTGTCCTGCAGGGGGTGACAGTCATGGTCCTGCATAGATGTTAGTTTGTCCAGGACCCTCCTGTCCCCCACCTGCTGCACTGTGTCCAGGGAACAGCCCAGGACTGAGCTGGACTTCCTGATGACCTTGTCCAGCTTCTTCCTGTCCCTCTTTGTAACGCGAGTATGTAATATGTAAATAAATAAATAATTAAATGTTAAAATAAATAACGAAAGCATGAAGAGATTGAGTGGCCTATATTAGACAATCCAAACACTTTCTTTTTGGTAGCGATGGGATTAATATAAACTTTTTTTTCTTCATCCATCACTTTTCAAACCAAATGAAAGACATCTATAACAGGAAAAAGTTAATTATGACATTAATGCGTTTAATCACAAGTAAATATTTTAATCGTTTGACAGCACATTGTTGTATTATACCATTGGGACCACAATGTATGCCAGGGGTTCCCAAAGTTTTTAGCCCGCGACCCCCATCATAAATGCCCTGCTAACCCGCGACCCCCCCCCCCTTCCGTCACATGCAATGAGCATGTATTTCCTTGATACGGAGTAACGCTTTCTAGAGACTCACGCCACTACCGAGCTGCACTGTCCAGCCCAAAAAAGGAGGCTTGCATATTTTTACTCATGTAGTGACACAGTGATGGGCTTGGTGGGCTCCCTCCTCATCAGAAGTGGAGCGCATTTCTTGCGGCTCTCCCTCACTGTTCTCCTACCGCGGTAAAGTGGGCCGGCTTTCCGGAGTCAGCGGTAAAGAGGTCCGCACATTAAAAGCGGGCGGCCGCTTTCTGCTGTTACTTTATGCGGTTCATCCCCGCGGCTTCTCTTTCCAAAGTTACTGTCAGTAAAGGCATAAACCGGCCACCCGCTTTTAATGTGCGGACCTCTTTACCTTTGACTCCGAAAAGCCGGGCCTCTTTAACGCGCTGTTCTACCGCTGTCCTCCCTCCCTCCACTGCCCTCTCTCCCTCCTTTGCCCTCTCTCCCTCCTTTGCCCTCTCTCCCTCTCTTCGCACCATCAGCCTGACCCCTGATACAAGTGACTTTTCTCCCCCTCCGGGTTTTTCTGTTGTGGATATTAACCACGTTTCATTTTAAAGCAGGTATTATTTATTTGTAGCCTCCAAACACCTTTAGTTTGAGCAAACAACAGCAGGACACGCTTTGTCGCTGCGCATGATGTGAGCTGTGTTACGTGATGATTTTGATTGACGCTGCAATGACTGGGACAAAATTACTAACGTTATTAAAATATATTATAGTCTCCAAACACAATTTAACAAGTAGTCCTTTTGAATCAAATCAAATGCTAAATAAATATTTAAGGGCTTTATATTTGCTCAAAAAAAAAAATCTTTTTTTTTTGTTTGTGTGGAAATCATCTTGCGACACCCCCCAGGGGTTCCCGCAACCCCCCGGGGGGTCGGGACCCCCACTTTGGGAACCACTGATGTATGCAACATATGAGGTAATTACATATTTGGAACAACTGTAGTTATATTAAAACTGGTAATTGGTAAACTATTACTAATGAAATCTCATCGATTTACCACACGCCAAGGTAGATTTACTGTATGTCTTGTATGTTGGGATATTTGTTTCCAGTGGAATTCATTCAATAAAGACGTTGATTTTATTCCAAGCTTTTTTCCCCCTTGTTGTGTATTATAACCATGTGTGTGAGCTATTGTCTGGTGTGAGCTGTACATGAAAGTGGAATTTAATTTACATATACTTCAAAGTGTTGTTGTGTAGACTTGTTTGAGGTGATTCCAGGGACTATTGGCTGCCCCTACTGGCTCCGGTGCTGGGCTTGATGTCGGCAGGTACAACTATGAACTCATGGAGAGGCAGTTGTTTCAAACAGATGTCTCTCCATATAAAGAGTGAATCACACATGAGAACATGAGAAACATGAAGGGCACTGGTTGTTACCTGACTCTGATGTTTGGGGGGCCCTAGTTACAAGTGCATTGTGTTTTTATGACTACTTATGAGTAGGGCTTGGAACCTTTTTTAAAACAAGAATGTGGGTACCAGGCTACCAGCACTAGTTTGGTTCTTTTTACTGCATGTGGTGTAGAAATGCTCATAAATTCCATTCACACTGTACATTTGATAATATATGAAGCTGAACTTTCCAATAACTTTCTACAGTGGTCCCTCAGTCATAATTTGTCAGCCTTCTATTCAGTTCTGGAAAAAGGAGTGTTTTTTTTTATTTTTATATTTCAATATGTATTTTATATCAATATTAGATACAATATCAATTGTTTTCAATATTTTATTTTTTAAAAGTCATGTAAATAACCATAGATTTTCTGTTGATTTTTTTTGACTTTCACAAATAGATTTTTTTAATAAGCCATTTACTCATTTTCTTTAAACAGACCCTATCCCAATCAACATCTTTTAGGTGCATTATGTAATAACCTTAAATGTCCTAATGACTACAGCGCATTAGCACCAACCCATGTCTATTAGTTCAATCAAATCCAATAGACATGCCTTTCATTTGTTTGTAAAGGTACCACTTCAGTAGTAGTAGTAGTAAGTAAGTAATCTTTATTTATATACCGCCTTTTCACTGCACATCGGAGTCTCAAAGCGGTTTACAATTGTTATTTTTGGGAGTGGGGGTGCCAGTACAGGAGGCACATGCCAGACCTATTGTACATATTTTTAGTGGTAGGGGAAACCGGAGCACCCGGAGGAAACCTACGCAGGCACGGGGAGAACATGCAAACTCCACTCAGAAAGGCCCTGGTCCAACCGAGATTCGAACCCAGGACCTTCTTGCTGAGAGGCGAGAGTGCTATCCACTCAGCCACCGTGCCGCCTTCAAACAAACGATAACCTCTTGATCAAGATGAAACCCATTTCAATAGTAGAAGGTTTGTGACATGATCAAATGAGTCTTTCTTTGATCTTCCTTTCCAATACTGCACTTTCTCCACAGTCGAAGCCTGCCTCGTCATGACCTGTGGCCTGACCGTGCATGTAGCGTTGTTGCTCCTGGTGCACATTCCTGCAGTGTGACGAATGCACATGTATGTTTAATAAGCAGATGTGGCTGATAGCGGTGTGGATGTGTGGATCGGCTCCAGCCTCGACCTGTTGACACATCCCTCTGACTGCATCTAGTGGCTTGTGATGTCCTTTCGTCGATACATAGTGTACTTACTGAATCATACGCCATTTCTTGTTTTTGGCCCTTTGCCTGTTTCATTGCCTCAATGAACTTTTGATTGTGTGTGTGTTAGGGGTGGGCGATATGGGCCAAATAAATATCTTCATATTTTTTCCGAACTCCCGATAACGTTATTGTAACGATATCATTTTTACACAAAATGATCTACAATGTTGTAGACTGTGTAGATCCAAATAGCAGCTTTTTATTTGTAAAGTGCTTCATGCATGCACAAATATATATTAACATTAAAAATCAAGTTCAAGTAACACAGGAAGAACACATCCCAAAAGGCTTTCTCCATATTTACAGAAATTTGCTTTTTAGGCACGCATTTGACCTATGGGCGTCTTGCCTGCTCTAATTGTATTATGTATGGGAGATATCCTTTTGCGCATTTTTTGTTTGTTTACATATCTTCAAATTTACTTTCGCAATATTATCGTCTACGATATATATCGGCCATCCCTAGTGTGTGTGTTTGTGTAAGTGCACTCTATTCCAATACACTGTGGTTAGCGCATGAAACTCCTGGATTCAATTCCAGCTTGATTGATTTTTTTTTTTTTTTACTTTTTAAAGTTTATAATAGAAGTACAAGGCAGAAACACATCAGCAACCGCAGCAGTAACAACAAAAGACATACAATAGAAAAGTAAAAAAAAAAAAAAAGACTATTGTGTGGTTTTAGCTTAAAGCAGGGATGTCAAACTCCAGAAGGGGCGGATTCGTCTGCAGGTTTTCATTCCAACCAAGCAGGAGCGGACCAGACTCTCCCAATTTCTTCAAGTCTCCAAGACAGGATTCACTCGACCCCCAAAAAAAGTGGAAGACAAAGGAAATAACTTTTAATATTTAGAACCTGAGAAAATAACTTGACACCATTACCACTGTAGGAGCCAAAATGTACCTTTCCCTAGCCACAAGGTGTTGCTGTGGGCGTTATGTGACCTGAGCCTATTCTCCTATAAAAAGGGCAGAATCAGAGGGCACAGGTGCTGCTGGGTTTGGAGGTAAACTGTTTCTTACCGTGTCAATTACTGTGGAATGTATTAAGTTATTTGGATTAATGGTCATAGGGGCCAATAAAGAAACCTCTAATACACTATTTGGACTATGGTTTGTGGAGACACGCGTTTGGGAAACCCTTAAAATCTTAGCAGCCAAGAGGCGATCTACAGGCAACATCTTCGCCTCTACAACCACCATTTATAACTTTTAGATTCTAATGATTTCTAATATATTTCCCCCCACTTTTAGATATTACAGCTTACTCTAAGTTACAGTCAATTTAGTAGATATTCTAATTGGGGTTTTTAAAGCTCCAAGCCAATTATCAAAATAAGTTTTATAACATATAAGCTAAATTATAGAAGAAAATAAACTTTTGAACTATAATTTTCTGAGTTTCCCCTGTTGGCCATAAAATTGGTCATAACATTCTGTAAGATTTGTTTATTTCGTAATAAACAAACCTTATCTTGCGCGCAACATTTATTCTTTCTACTAAGTTTTGGTCTTAGGTGGACTTCAAAGGGCTGACAGCGATACTTTTTAGCGCTCAACCAGATGTTTTCTATAAAGTCACACGGTCTAATGAGTGGAGACGATGCAGTCACTTATTAGGGTCCCATTGTGTGAGATTACAGAGCTGCACCTTTGAAACAAGCTTTTAGTTTTTCTGCATTTGAGCCTTGTTTTTCTGCTTAATTACTACACAGGTACGTACAGCCAGTCACTAACTGGCTATCAGTGGCATTTAGGGCTAGAGTTGCGATTACTGAAAGAAAAACACCACGATATAATGAATATTCACCATTGTTGACCAAAGAACGGTAAAGCATAAATGTTCTTGAATGTCCTTTCTCTAACATGGTACAATTAATCAAAGTTGTTAAAATCTTAGAGCTCTAATTACATGGGGCAAAATATATTTAAAGGGAAAGTATGACATGTGTGCTATTTATTTGTCTAAAGTCATTTGTTACAATCCTCCTTTTGTTGCCAGAATCTGAAACAACATTAAGTTTCTAAGCAATGATTACTACGATTACTAATGCAATCCACCTGCTGGGGTTTAGCTTGAAGACATTCCATGCATTACGTGTAACTTATTTTTGTATCTGCTTTTATTTAAACAAATGGTTGGGTCTATTTTTGTTTTGTGAATTTTGTATTTAAAAAAAAATTGAGCCAAAAACAGCAAAATGTTACCTAACAAACTGGCAACTCAAATGAGAGCTCTATTATGCTGGTTGGATAATCTTTAACTTTTTTTAATTAATAAAAAATACAATGACAAAATGCATTTGAAAATGATTACTCCACTAAACTTGTGTTAAAAAAAGTTCAAATGAGAAATGTGACCTGTTATCTATAGGGACACATAAAAGTGGTAGTTATAGATCCAAATGAATATTAAATGCTGTCCCTTATTAAGGAAAAAAAAATCTCTTTCAGAATTACATACTGATTCCCTTTAAATGCGACTAAACTTACTGGTTGTATCGGCAAATAGGATGATAAAGGAAGGGTCAGAGCAATAGATAAAAAAGTAATAATCACCATTTTTAGAAATTCATTTTCATACAAATTCATACTGTAACCTGAATAATCACGATAGTCTAACCCTAATAAACTTTACATGCCTATAGTGGCCAAAGGAGGAACAATACCAGAACAGTGCTAATAGTTGTTCACTGTAGATATGCAAAATGTATGTAAATTCTTCAGTACTACCAAGACCTAATCATCCAACCTGCCTCAAAGGCTGGATGATCAATCCTGTCAAGATGAAGTGGACCTTCATAAATACCGTTGATAGGATAGCTTTGTATTTAATGTCATTGTCTAGACTGTTGCCATAGAGATGAGGCTGTTGACGATTCTTATCTTAGACCCTTGGACTGTGGACGTGTCTTTTATCAGTCATGTACACAGTAGTAGTTTGTCTTCAGAAATATTCATGTCAGAGCTGTGCGGAATTGCGCAAGCACCAGGTGGAAATATTCTTTCGCAGTTGAAAGATTTATTCCTCCTCAACCTGCCTGCACTTGTGTATGTGGCAAGAAGCTGGAATTAATGTGAAATACGAAATGAAAATTGCCAGAGCGGGCCAAAGGTGCTCAAGTTTTCAATGTTGATGTCATTTGATTGAATGATACAAAGTTATGTTGTCATGTTTATGACGACAGACATAATTATCTTGTTTTGAAAGACTACAACAAACTCTAACCGACAACTGAAGTGAATTACTGAAAAGTGTGACTTGCACAAGTTTTAATACCTGGGTTGATAATTTGCAGAACCCCCTTTTTGCTTTGCCCCTTTTTGCCTAGAGACTGAATTTTTAAACTATTCCAGTGTAGCTCTGGCTTTATGGTTGGATTCATCACATTAAATCTAAGCTTTAGTAGTGAAAGACTACTACTATGAATTACCACTAGCTTACTTTGAAGTCTTTCTCATTCCCCAGTGTGTGCGTGTGTGCGTGAGTGCACATGTGTCCATAGATCGATAGCTGTTTGCCTGTTTGCAAGTGAAGGCCAGAGTGTGGAGCCTGTCCTCACACTGACCATCAACCTCTGCCTCCGCTGGCCAAATGCACCATTACATAACGCTTTATTTACCAGAGCTCTCCAGAAAGTATTTGAGCTGGACCGACTAAAAGTATAAACTCTGTCCACACCTTCTTCACTCTTAGGAATTTGCTATTCCGCAGTAGATAATGTATAGAAATGAACACATCCTTTTTTTCTGCACTCACACAATGTAGTTGTTGTTTGCCCTTGGTCCACATGGTCAACAAAACATTTAAAACATAATCGCAAAATATGAATAAAGTTATTTTCTATAAAATGTAATCTGTGGGTTTTTGTCGCCAGGCGCTTTCTACGTTATGTGATGCACTACAATATTCCTATATACTCGCATTGACCTTTGGAAGTTTGATCCGTAGATATACGACAATTGCAAAGTTACAAATAGGAGAAATTAATATCTTCTCATTTTTTATCATGTCAGATTCTCTTAATGTTATTAAATTGGACATATGAAAACCAAACATGTGCAAAGTGAATGAAGATGGATTCAAAACAGATTTTTCAGCTCAAACTTGTCAGAGTAATTACACTTCAACCCCTCTGATACACTGCAATCATTTAGCAGCAAGAATGTTTTTGCACTTATATTGATAATTAAAGGGGCAGAGAGCAGAATGAGGCTCTCATTTGGGTTTCCAAATGGCAACAAATGGCAGCACACATTTCTATTATTATTATTTTTTTTTTTTTTTTTTTACATTTTATTGCATTTTTAAACATAATTCCTACATTCACACAGACATGGAAGGGGGGAAGCAAAGCAAACCATAAGAGTAATCAAAAGTGAAAATTTTTCAAAACTGAAAGCAGACACAAAAGTAGCTTTTGTCAGAGACTGTAATGTTTCTATATTTTAAGTGTACTTACTTGTGTATATAGTGGTAATTTCAAGAAATGCTATGTAGATTTAGTTTTTTTCTTTTTAACGTATGCCTTTTTCTATTTTTATTTTATAACTTGTTTGCACTGAGAGCCAATGTCATTTTTTAGTTTGTGACTTCCCGTTACCCACAATGGCAATAAACAGAATTCTGATTCTGATATTCTGGCAACAAAACTGCTCTCAGAAGGGACTTTGCAAGCAGATTGCATTCTCTCCCTTTTAACATTGAGCAAAGTTGAATCTTCTATCTTTTGATTTTATTCACAGCCCGAGCTCCATGTACACTTTCTTTCCCCAGATAAAATTCCAGCTGTCACTCTATAAACTCTCTATAAAACATGTGCTAATTGGCTCAGACAGAAGCCATCCATCTGCTGGTGGGCTGTGGTTGTGCAACGCGGGGGCAGAGGAGGCTCGCCCTGTCCCATCTCCTCTGCCCCGGGTGCAGCGAGAAGGCCTGACAGGGCAAACTGAGTGGAGGAGTGGAAGGTGGGAGGGTTTCTTGTACCTGTGTGTGTAGTCACTCCCTCTGAGGGGAGTGTAGCTCTGCTCCTCCCCTCCCTCCACTCTGCTTGTTCACACAAGCACACTGGACTCCGTCAGCTGCACACTGGTTACAACACTCAGGACTACACTTATTTGACTACTGCTGATCTGCATAGGATTTGGAGCTTGCTGGAGAAGTTCAAGAAGGAACCGGACAGTTTCTAAAAGCAGATTTTCATTCATTGATTAAGTTTTTTTCGTCACCGTTTCTCCTTGGGACCTCTAGACAACTCTAGCGGCAGGGTGAGTGCCTTTTCCAACTCCTCAATTTGAGTTCATCTTTTCGCTCTGGGTTCTTATCAGCTGATTTGATCATGTTTATTGAAGGGTGGGCCGATTGCCATGCCATAAAGCATACATGTGAAACTCTGGAAATCGGAATATTCAACTTACAATGATGAACTGATACTAGACACTCATTACATGTAAAGTGAGATATATTAAGCATTTATTTGTGATAATGTTGATAATTGTCTCACAGATTGTAAAAAGTCCAAATAAAACTGCAAAAGATGTGTTATATGATAATTTGAATGTAAGCCATTATCTCTATAATCATGTCACTCTGCATGTAATGAATATCATAACTTGGTTTCACATTGTAAGTTGATAAGTTGAAGGATATTCTTTCTCGAGGTTCACCTGTACCTGGCCTTACATTGAGTTTGAGTATCACCCAATAAAATGGTAATTGAACTATTTTATATAAAAGAGACCAATTTAAATGAGGACACTGGAAGTTGTGGTTAGAATATAGACCTTACATCAGTACATTATTATATTTTGGAAGAGCATTGAAATTTTTTATTCAGTTTTCAGGCACTACACTGCTCTCAGTCATGCCTGCTACTCAGTTGTCCCTACAACTCAAGTTAAGGCTTTTTGCAACATTGCTCATTCGCGGTGCACTATTTTCAAATGTTTTAGTTACTCCCACGTTTGCAACAAGACAAAGTAAATCCTCCAAACCCAGTCCTGTTCAGTTGCCATTTATTGCCCTGTATTTTTGGACTGAAAACCTCTTTGAACCAGTAGCCGCTTATTTCATAGCCACAACTGTGAAAGTCTTTTCTATTCTCGCTGAAAGTCCAGAATGTCTCGCAGTTCCACTACATTACAAATGACATCATCCCAGTCCCAGTCCAGTCTTCCCCTCAGGCCACATGGCTACACCCTACCGACGCTTACCACCGACTTCTTGTGGTTAGGGTCCCGTCTAGTTGTGGTCTTTCCATTAAGCCCACAGTCTGTTGGTTGTGTTTGGTTTCATGGACCATTGCGGCTTTGTGCCAAAAAAAAAAGTGACACATGCAAGTTGAAATTGGTAGTAGTGACAAATTATGCGGATTGCAGCATGCCACGGGCCATTTGTATGCTTTGGTTCTCTCAGCCTCTATATCATTTTTATGTAGTTGTTTTAGTACATTGGCCAGGGTATGTTGAATACTGTGACTGTGACCACACGTTTTTATGATGGGACGAGAACCGATCTATATATATATAGGTGAAACTCAAAAGTTGAATATGAAAATGGACTTTTGAACAATATTCTGTCTACAATGTGGAACTAATGCACGATACTCATTACATGCAAAGTGAGCGATCAAGCTTTTTATGTTATGATGTTGATTAGATTATGGCTCACAGCATGTAAAAACCCATAAGTCATAATCATTCAAATTATAACAAAGGCTCGGCATATTTTTCTGCATCTAACGAGGTATATTATATATTATTTTCATATTTTAAGTGTAATTATAGAAAGAACTTTTGAACAATATTCTGATTATAAATGTTTCTGGTTTTAATGCAATCTTTTAAACAGACTGTTTCCAGACTGAATTGAGCACTTTAAACTATAGCACTTTGTTTTTTATTTTGCATGTCTTCTTCTGAGTTTGTCTTTTTGTTTTTGTTGTAGTTATTGTCTCATTTTGCACACTGGGTGTTTTTGTACGCATTTTGAATTGCAAATAAACTGAAAAAGGAAACTTGTAACCAACGACCAGGGGCCTCAATTAAACAACTTAACGTAGATTTATACAAAAATACAAGCATATAAACAAATTATTTTTTTTCCTGAGCATAAGTTAAATAAACTCTCTTCTCTGAAAGCTACACAATACTTTTGTCTTTGGACCAACTTTCTCCTTTAAAAGTGACATTTTCGGTTCAATATTTCCTTGATGTGCAAAGTGACGTGCGTTACATTTTAGTACGTACGCACTCTTTTATAAATGAGGCCCTAGCCCTTTTTTTATTGACAAAAATACCAACATACCTTGTAGACCATAAGCATATGCAACTGCCACAACTTTTCAAATGTTGTCGCTAACAAACAGACCAAACCCTAGTGATTACATTACCCCCTATACATCTCTCTCTTGGAGCAAATGGACAATTAACAAAGTTTTTTGGAATTAAAAAAAGGGATGAAAATGAGTATTTGGGACATCACAATGCTTCAGCCAGTAATAATCGGTGTAAAATCTAACTTCCTCTTTTTTTCCACACAAATGCATCATTCAGACTGTTTTGAACTAAGCCTGAATGTGTCTTTGTCTAAACCTGCGCACAGTTGTTTGCATGTTTGCGTCCAGTGTCAGCTTACAGTAAAGCCTTCTGTCTGAGTGTCCTCCCATTTGTCTTCTTGTACATTGTATTATTGCCTTGTCGCTCTTTACTAATGGACATCTGCTCTGTTCAGTGGGGCCTTAATGGACACATCCCTGGGCTAATGGGATACCTGCTCATTTGAGAGCCTTGAACATAAACTTTGCTTCTCCCGTTGTGTATGGACAATTGGCAGGAGAAAGGGCGGAAATGATCAAAGAGTTATCTGCAAGACGGACCAGACTTTTCTTGTCTAAAAAGAACATGCTTCTAATCTTTAATTGCTGTAAAAAATGTAAGAAGTAGCCCTAGTAAAGGCCCACAATTTTCGTGTTCAGAAATTGACAATAAAATGAATGCAACTTTAACCTTGTGTTAGTACACGGTGTTCTTTGCAATTTTTGTTGAATGATTTTCTAATTTTGACTTTATTTGGTGTCTACTGGTAGTTAAGACTTAATGTTGTTGAAATAAATTATAATTTTGATAGTGGTCAGCAGTTTGTGGATAAAATGTGAAATATGTTGTAAGATTGCAGGAAGTGAAATCAGGCAGTTCTATGATGAGAGCTGAATACATCAAAATGAATCCTCTGCCATGGTCTCCGTATGTGTCATTGTGGTGGATTTAAGTCCTAAAGCCACCAGACAAAACCTTATCTTGTAAGTAATCTTGGACTGTCAGTCTGTAACAATAGTGCAGCTCATGGCCCCTCTAGGGTTTTTCATAGAATTGGCTCAAACTGTCCTTTTATGCAGGACTGTATCTATATATTGCCAGACAGAAGTTGCATATATTTCCATTACACTGACTACCTACATTCATGTAATCTGAAATTGTCATTCATTCATTATAGAAAATTGAACTACAAGAATTGTTAGATTTGGCCCTGATTTCAGGTGGACAGAACTGGAATTGATTTAGATTAGATAAGATCTGTGGTTATGAGTGTAGATAGAACTCCTCTTTGTTAATGATTCATTCTCATTGTCTACTTGTGAATTCAAACAGCTCTAAAAATGGACTTGACACATAGAGGGCCGGCTTTTCAACAGAAGGATGACATATCCATTATATCAGAATTACTATGAGGCTAATATTTTATCTGGGGACACGTAATCTAGATGTGATTTTGAATTAAATGCCATTTTTCTTTGACTTTTGCCAAAGAAAAATTGCAAAAGTTATTGCAACCTTTTTAGGGTAAAATATATTCAGATGTCTGGCTACATCCTGTTTAATTGAGTGATAGGATTAATGCTCATCTCCAAAGAACAGCTCAATATACAAATGTTACATGTCTTCAGATGCTTATATATTGTCCTTTTGCTTTGCCCTTATCTGTCAGGAGCCATGGTCACTGAGGAAATGATTTGATTACAAAAAAGCTTTGATTACAGTTTTGCTTGCCTCTATTAATCAGTACATTTTTACAATTACTCAACTTGAAATAAGTGCCTCCAATTAGTTTCACATGGTTTGATATAATCTAGCAAGGAAAGACTTATTCATTTCCTTTTTTTAAACCAATACCAATCACCAAGTAAGATTTCTATTGACCTTTTTATTTAAAAAAGGTCAATATTGAGATTTCAGAATCGGGATTCTGGCCCCAGATGGAGGAAGCTATTGTCCATGGTTTTCGAACCCAGGACCTTCTTTACTGAGGAACATGAGTGCTAACCACTCAGCCACTGTGCAGCTTTGAATTTTAATCTGCATTGAACTTCTAACAGTTCAGAAGTTCTGCTGTTTTTTGTGGCTTCAGGCCTCAGTAGCCAGTATGAGTAAACTTTGACCCCTCCTCCCTCAGCAACTGCGAGGAGTGGTCCCTCATGTATATGATAATGTGCCAACTTTAACACCATCTCTGTGTTCCAAAAGTAAAAAGCCACATGTATGGACTCTTTGTAGATTTAAGTTTAGGCCAATTAAATGTGATTGCATTTACATATAAATTGGGTGTGAGTAGAGATGACTCTTTTGAATGGACATATGTGGCACTGAAATTAATCTATGTACGACTAGACAATATTCAAAGCTCTGATAATATAACTAAAAGTATACATCTGTTGTCATATCGGTCAATATTATTTTTTAGTGTTTAGTATATAAAATAGTTTAGTGTTTATTTTTTCTGTTAATCCCAACAAAAAGACTACAACGTGCTTTCTTATGCATACTTCTGAGTCACCAATTCATGCTTTGGACTGAAGTGATTGGCTGAGTAAGGGCTTGCACTTCTATCTGGAAAAGCTGATCCAAAGATGTGAGGACAGACAGTACATGTGTGTGACTGTCATTTTTTTAGAACAGTGTTTCTTCAAGTTATTTCTTCAATCTACTTGTTTTTACTGACTAGATTGCAGGGTTGTTTTAAAGTATTAATAAAGTGTATAAATCAATACTAAAACTAGTATCAAATCAAGTATCTTTCTGAACTTGATTATTTTTAACACAATTCAGTTTTAAATGACTTCAGAACTACTATAAACCTTGTATCGTGACTTCATGTTTTTGGAAAACTAGAATATTGTTTAATAGTTAATTTATATAATTCAACTGTAATGTGAAATATACACATTACATCACATATGCCAAGCCTTTGCTTATTTTAATTTTTGATAATTATAGTTGGCAGTCCACTTTTCAAATTATTCTAGTTTTCTGAAATGTTTTGTTGATGGAGGTTTTTCTAGCTGTGAGCCATAATTATAAACAGAACAGATAATGGCTTGATATATCTCACTTTGCCTGTAATGAGTGTTGTATTAGCTTCACATTGTGAGTGAAAATACAGAAGTAAATGGACTTACTATTAATCCAACTTTCCAAATTTCATCTGTTTATAGACTTATGTTTTGATAATGTTGGATCGCTATGTTATCTTTTACACCGCTTTATATAGTAGCCTGAGCTTTGATTATATTCCTCTTTATTATTCTATCTTTAGAGTACTTTAGAGCTGTCTATATTGTGTGATCAAAAGGTGTGTGTATAAATAGCCTCACCAGTTGTGTGAGTTGTGTGTGATGCTGAGAGTAGACAGGCGGTCCCTCAGGCTGAGCTTCGACTCTGCTCCTGGTGCTGACCTCATCACTGGCCTCATCACTGCAGCTTCACATGTGACAGCGCGGCTCTACTTTCTGCCCTGGAAGCATCCGCGTCTGCGCTTGTCTAAACGCCAAAAACATGCAAACAAAACACCATTACACCGGCACACGTCTGATGTCTGACGTATATTCGGTATCACATTTGGAACTATACTAAACTTTGCACACACAGAATGCACAGATCGAGGCCGCCAAAGGTGGACTGCATTAGAGTGAGGGAACATTGTATATAATTAAAATACTATATAATTATTGTGTGCAGTATAAGCCACTTTATTGCACATCTCTTTCTAGAAGTCTCATTTGTTGCAATAACCTTTTATATTTTACTTGAGTAAAACGAGTCCCTTTAGAAGTTGCAACACAAACAGGTTATGATTATTTCTGTACAGTAATCCTGCAGCACGGCCCTGATTCTTCACATGCCATTTGCTCTTTTGACATCAATGCAGCAGACCTTTCAAGCTCTGATAAGAATCTCAAAATGTAGAAGCTGTCTTTGTGCAAGGACGGAAGTATTTTTTTACTTCATGTGATTGATTGGAATCATTTGAAACACTGAATCATGTAAAGTTGCTCATATTAACTACTGATTTAAATTTTTAGAGGTTGACCGATGTATTGAGATGTAAACAAACCTTCCAGGGATAAAATGTACGATTTCAATGCCCAGTTTATGATTGAACTAAATGGCTCATTATAAACAGGTAATTTAGTGGGGATTTTTACTACTTCAACTTTTATTTTTATTTTTTAAGTTTTTTTGTAACCCTATGACCCTGTGGTATCACTTGAAGTGTTGGGCCAATGGCAATGGGCCTCGTTTGTGTATCAAAAATTAAAATTCAATCAAATTCAATCCTATCAGGAAGCAGTGGCGGTTGGAAAGAGGGGGTCTAACCGAAGCCTGCTTTGGAAATAAATCTGTCTTCACGACTGACATTCACTTTGAAACCACCATTTAAACCTCTCAAACCAAATGAAGAAACTGCACCTGTGACAAACTCGTTTCCCCTTTATCTTTAGTTTTATATCCTTATTATAGGTTGTAATGGATATAATGTATCAATCCAGTGTTTTGAAATAATCCCACCAACTCAAACCGCAAGACGCCTCCAAAGAAGAATCTATACTATATCCATGTCCCTGAACTCGAGACTCTATACTCTTACCATCGTGCATTATAGTGTGTTTTTTATTGCCAATAGTTCTTTGCTGTGTTTACTTTGGGCTCCACACTAGTTTTGCCATGCTGCTATGACGGAAAGATGTGGAATTGTATGTCAATTGTGAGATTGAAATTGTGATGAACATTTCTTTTAAAATCTGGTCTCGTTCTCGTGGACCCAGATATGAATGTTTGGCTTTGGAGAGCGTGGTCTGGCTGTGTCTTAGTATTGTAAGTAATGATGTCCTGAAGCCGGTAGCTCTAAACACCTGTGCAGGTAAGAGGAGTAAGAAAAGCCCCCAGTCAGACTGGGAAACATTCCACAGTGTCGGCCCGCAACTACCTCCGACCCGGGGGCAGAAGACGAGAAGGAGCAGGGGGAAAGGGGGCTCTACTGCCATAGGCCATATATTTGGAGTGGACTGACCAACAGCTAACGTCACCATAGTGTTACAGAATGTGGAGGACGCAGATTTGAACATAAGAAAATTGGTGCCCATTTTCTTATATGGGCATTTGTTTTGATTGGGTTAACTTTGCTCCATAACAGAGGCACATACAAGTTGCTATCATGGTTGCTAAGGCAAGCTGGAATTTATCCCCCGAATTAAGGCAGCTGATCATACATCCAGATATGAGCTTTAAGGGTTGACAGAATACAATATCAAAATGAATATCCTGGGATCAAAGAGTGCTAAACCACAGATTTTTTTTTGCCCAACAATGTGTCACACGGACAGTTACTCAGTTAGAATTCTGTAAATTGCGGTTTAAGCCAGTATTTGGCCTGGTGGTGCAGCCTCGGCCGCCTATCGAGATCTCAATGTTCACAATAACGGCTTGTCCTCAGATGTTAGAAGCTACATCCTTCACAACGATTTTTGTAGGGAATTGAGTGTCATCATTTCTTTTGATCAATCAGTTTTTTTATTAAATCTTGTCCTCGTCTTGCTCTAGTTACACTATGATCTACTCACTTCCTTTTCTTTTTTTCTTGCTTGAATTAATGGGGATGTCAGCAAGTTATATTATTATTATTAATAACATTATTTGTTAAATATTATTTTAAAGGGACATTCGCGTACATAATAGATTTAAAATGGTCCCTACCATTAGCATAACTACAATTAGTTAGATTTGCTGGAAAATGGTTACACCAATGGCGAGGGGCCTCAAGAGTTTGAATAAATGTTGTCCTATCGGGAAGCAGCGCGGCTGAGCATAGCTATGCCTAACCAGTGCATGTCTTCAAAAAGTTTCACTCTGTTCAAGTGACATTCACTCGTTGACTCATCGAATCCATAAAAAACTAGGAAACGGAAACACGTTTTAATTACCCGGAAAATCCCCTTCCAAATATTTCATCAGGACAAATCAATAATCGATGTGTTGGCACAACTTTCACCTGTTGCTCTAAATAATCTGGATTCTTTGTGGCCCATAAAGATTTTTAATCATTCTCTGGTGCCACAGTTCAGCCACCGCACCTGCCTGCTGTTTACTCTTGTGTAGATTCACTGTTGAGTTAAAAATCTGTTTCCACCAAAACTGGTTAATACGCCATTTCTTGTTTATTTGCAGCCCGTGTTTATTTTTCTCTTTGTGATATAGTCCATTAGAATCCAGTACAAGTGTGTCCCCCTGCCCTTTATTCATTAGTGATGAGCAGGGCAGAAGTGCAGGCGGATCGTTCTGGAATAACGTCGTCAGACATGGCTAAAAACAGAGATGCTGCATCATGCTCTACTGTAGTGCAAGATGGAAGCTTCTATTGGCTGAAGAAACTCATGTTATCAGCCCGCACGGATAAAGGCGCGGCTTTATTGACAATATAAATATGCAAACAAATGACATCAGGTTGTCAAGTATGAGCTCATATGTCAGTTGGTGTCAAATCAACTCTTGTTATCCCCAATCCCAATGTTATATGTTTGCAAAAATGTGCACCTGGATACTTTTTTTTTTCAAGTTAAGTTTTTCATCTGTTATAGAAAGCTAGGATACATCATTTTGGTTCATCAATGATACAGACTGTTTAGCAACACACTGTCTTCATCTCATTTTAGGGATACTACTTTACAAGGTTGTATTTGACCAAGTGGACAAATTAGGCAATATATTTATGGTGCTATTTTCAGATCTGATGTTAACCATATTTATTTATAGACCCGTATAAAATTTTAAAATGTTAATATTAAATACAGGCTCTTAAAACTTGTTATAATGCCTTCCCTTCTCTGACCCCTTTTCTCTGTTCTTCTGTCTGCCTCAGATGACATGGCGTCCCCAGTACCGCAGCTCCAAGTTCCGCCACGTGTTTGGTAAGGCCGCCACCAAAGAAGGATGCTTCGATAGCGTGCCCATCACCTGCTGCGTCCAGGACAACAACTTCTGCGCAGTCAACCCACGCTTCCTGGCAGTCATCACAGAGTGCGCGGGGGGCGGGTCCTTCCTGGTACTCTCCGTCCACCATGTAAGTGTATGCAGATCTGTTCTAGATTTGCTTTCTCATGCTTTATATATGCCTTATACTAGGGTGTTAAACTCATTTTGGTCAATAGCTGAATTTAAAGTACTAGCTGGTCAGGGGCTGAAGCTCTAAACATGGGTTTCTTAGATACTTTTAAAAGCAGTTTCTCAAATGCAATCAGGTTTGAACATGTTTTAAATAATCTGTTCCTTTCAATCTATTGATTCATGCTTGGTTGAGTAGTCAAAAGTAGTTTCCTCAAATGCTCCACAGATGCTTTTTCACAATTTTCAACCCTAAGGCCAGGGGTCCAGACATGTTTTGCCTATGATGTACCAACATGACATGAAGATTTCTTTGTCACTAGTGCTTTCCATCTGTTTAAAGTTCTCTATATATCATTTTCAAAAATCATTACCCTCAAACTCAAATCAAAGTCAAATAATGAGGTGATTTTTGTATCAAAGCAATACAACAATTGACTTCTCCCAAACTGAGTCAAAAAAGTCTCTTTATATTATTCATAATATGAATAATAATGATTCGGATTAAAACTATCCAAGAAATCCTCATCTCTACAAACCAGGACAAAAAACCACACCGTTCCTCCTGGATCAGAGATTTGACCATCGGCTGAAGTCTTCTCTCCTGTTCCTTGGCGTAGACCTAGATCCATAAATACGGTCGCCTAGGAGGCTCTGGTAGCAATGCCCGTTTTTGTTAGTTATAGTGGCCTACTGAATGAATGAATCATCGTTCCCTGCACACCTGAAAGTGACATTTATTATCTCTGAGTGTATAAATAGCTGTGGAGTCCAAAGGATGTGAGCCCTACCCCTAATCCAACTGAGCAAAAACACTGTGGAGTTCCCCTTACTTTATCTTTCATATATCCATCCATAACGGCTGCTTAGGTTTTCCATTATAGCAGTGATTTTAAAAGGCATGTGACCAGATTCTTTTCTCTATATTATAACCTATTACCCGTTTGGTTCTTTATTAACTTCATGTAAAAATGTAAGTAAGTAAAAGAGAAAATTGAAAGTAGGTAACCGGGGGAGGTGCTAGGTGGTGGTAGTCAGCGGATTGAGGGTAGAGTAATGGCGGTGTGCGTAATATGAGAATATAAATAGCCTAGTTTTTAATCCTTGGGTCAAAATGACCCACAACGGATGATTAAAAGTGAAAGAAAATACCCCAGGGCAGGTCAGCCGAGGATAGTACAAGGATTAATCACAATGCATGCATATTTGTTTGTGTAAATGACAAAGGAAAACAATTATAACATGGCCAAAAATGGACTTAGGTTGTATCCACCTTAAAAGATAAAAGCCCCCATGTTTGCATTGGAGATTCACACAGCTTAAACCTTTAACAGTCTTCCTGAAAATGTGAGACAGGCTTCTTCTCAGACAAGGTTCAAATCCAGGTTGAAAATAGTTTCTTTTAGCTGTGCAACAACTGAGGTATTGCATCTGCACTCTTTTAAATGCACTGTGATTATGTATGATTTGAATGCCTTGTTTTCTTGAAGGGTCAAAAATGTGATGAGTTGAATTTGTTTTTTGTTTTTTTTCTAATTTGAAAATGACTGGCTGCAAACAGTTGTAATGGCAGCCATGTGATTGTAAAGATTTACTGAGAAATTGCCGAAACGTAGCAGTTTTCTGTCTCTTAAAAGTATAAACTGTGAGTATGATGTCATAGTGGTACAATGACATCATACAAGACTGAGAAAGAAGCATTTGGACAGAAGGGGTGAATTCACACGTTTGTGCCAGAAGTTCATGATGTTTGCGTGGATGGCGTGTTGCTGAGAGAGCTTTTTATTTAATTTACTCCTTTAAATAAGCATTGTGGCACTTGCAGCTTTTTTTTTAAAGTCATTCATCAAGCTTCTCTGCTCTTCTCACTTTGTCTTTGGTGTTGTATTTATTGGCGAGTTATCGACTGATTTTTGGCATGAATGCGCATTACATTTGACTTCAGGAATGACATAACTTACACGTTCTCCTCTTGGGTAAAATAGCTTTGTTCTGCTCCGCACAGACGTGATCTATAGGTGGGTTGGGGAACACACATTTTCACATTTTCTTGTCATTCCAAAAGGCAGTGGCGTCATTGTTTTCCGTGTACACCTTGTAACATCGCCTGCAACTGCGTCTGTCAGAGTGTTAAGTTGGATGTGCAATTAGGAGTCTTGTCGAGGCAGAAAATCTTTACTGACTTTTCCCTTGTAGATGGAATACACCAGAGTGCTTCTCAAACAGCTCCCCTAAGCTTTTTAGAAACTATCATTGGTGTGTTAAGAACCAGATTTATGGGCAGGACGGTGGGATGTGGGTTTTAACATTCATGCTATACCTCTATTCTGTATCTCTTCTATTCTCTCTCCTCCCTCTTTTTGGAGTGTTGTAAGATCAAGAGATCCTTTATTCGTCCCACAGTGGGGAAATGTCACTGTTGCATCACCAGTTACAGAACAATAGGAATGAGGAGCACACAGCAAAAGCTACTGTATATGAACAATAACTCTATACTAAAATAAAATAAAATCTCTCTGACTTTAGCAGTAAATTAAGCAATAACATTTAGAGATTTTATTCTTGTTTCTTTATTATGCTAAAGTCAAAGCTGGGGTACCCTTTTCTTCTTTTTGATAAAACCGCAATCAATGCATGTATTTTATGTCACATCTTCAGACCACATTCACTCCAATGTTGAGTCTCTCCCTTACAAATATGATAAAGACCTTTTGGATGGAAAAACATGAATACCGCAAAACACTGGACATTCAACTCCCGATAACGATGTTGTCACGATTTCTTTAAAATCAATTACACAAAATGATCTGTTATGTTTTGCTGCCAGGGCATCTATAGATAGAGACAGTGTAGATCTAAATAGAAGCTTCACACTTCTTTGTAAAACATGCACAAACATATATTAACATATATCAGCATTAAAAATCAATTTCAAGTAACACAGAAAGAACACGTCCAAAAAGGCTCAATATTTACTGAAATGTACAAATAAAGCAGTGATTGGCTTTTTATGTACACATTAGACCAAACGGGCATCTGTCCTTCTCCTAATTGTAATATGTATGTTAAAAGAAAAAGGACGATAATACAAAAAAGCATATCTTCAAATTGACTTTCACAATGTTATTGTCTACGATATATTTTGCCTACCCCTACATTCAACACATTTTTTCAACATTTATGGGCACTAGTCATCTGCCCCTTATCCACCAATCGTTGTGTTGAAATGTTTGATTCTCTGATCAGAGTCGGTGAATTGAGAGCTTTGTAAATCCGCCAAGATAATAAACGTTATTGTGATTTAGGGCTATACAAAATGGAATTGAACCTGTGAAAGTAAAATGTTTTGAACGAATCAGATCACAACAACACTATCTATTGGGACAACCTATACATAGAATTGATTAAAGCTGGGGTGCATAACTTTTTTGAAAACCAAAATGTTGAGTGTGACACCGGTTAGTGAGCTAGTTTACTTTTCAATATAGGTTATAGGAGCCAGAGCAAGTTGGAGAAAACCTTTAATAAGCACTTCCCTATTGCACTTGACCTATGGGGTTAGCATTGTCTGTCTGCATTATGCGGTCTATGGTTTTATATCAACTTAAAGGCCTAATCAGGGTGTTGTCTTAACAGATGCCAATAAACCGATACTCATTCCAAGAATATATCCTGTATGGAAAAGTGAAGAGGGATCTGCTGTGATTCACCTAAATGATAAATTCCCTTTTCCCGAAGTTTTGTTGAAACACCAGAATGACCGTTTTGTCTGTCTGTAGGAGCATGTAGAGGAAACGTTTAAACGAGAGAAACTTTCTTAAGATTAAGTTGGTAAAAGTCCTGCATGTTTAATATTCTATTTTTGAGATCAAGGGTAGCAAAAAGTCTGCCCATACCAGTGGAAAGGAAAATTTGAATTGAAATTTAGAAATTTTAATATCATGTTTGTATGCCAAGTTTTATACGACTAGTCTGAACTTTCTGATGTATGTATTTAATGTGTGCTAAGGTTACTTTATTAATGTAATTTAACCTAAAACATTATACAATAGATCGATTACATGCAAAGTGACATATTGTGTTATGTTATGGTGTTGTGTTTATTATTTTGATGATTGTGAATTACAGGCCATCTTCAAAATAATCTCATTTTCCGTTCTGTTTTATTCAGGGTTTTTACCAGCTGTGAGTCAACATTCTAACATTAAAGGCTTAATATATCTCACTTTGTGTGTAATGAGACTCTTATATAGTTTCACATTGTAAGTTTGAAGTTGTGAACGATACTGCTCTAAAAAATGTCTTGACCTTTTATCTTTTTCTTGTTGTTCAGACGGGGAAAGTGGACCCTCACCAGCCGAGAGTGTCCGGCCACAAAGGGAAAGTTTTGGACGTAAAGTGGAACCCCTTCAATGATTACTGCATCGCTTCCTGCTCCGAAGACACCACGGTTTGTGACACAAGCGCACACGGCTTTTAAAATGTTTCATAAAAAAATATATATATTCATAAATAAAAACTACCTGGGCATGCATTTCTTATACTCTACTCTTTCCTTCTTCCTTGTGTTTTATTATTATTATTTTTTTTTTGTTCAGACACAGATTAAATGACAATAAAAAAATAAAAAAACAATACAAATTTATGAACGAAGACACAACAAACTAATGATGGGGGAGGGCTCTTTTACAAATACAATAGTTTTAAATACAAATCCCCACTTTTAACTTTTTTCATTTTATTGGTTGATTTTGTTTGAACTGGCATGCAAAATAAGATGAAGATTAATTTCCCACATGAACCCATTTCTGGATCTTTAGGGAGGATGGCCATAGATGGATTGTTGAAGTCAAAGAGGACGTCTAACTCCTGGAGGCTGATCGTCCCACACGCACACTGTGCTGGGACGGGCGTGGTCTCATTTCAGCGGAACGCGGACAAGTAGCTGCACATTTTTATCACCGTGCACTTGTGGCATCTAATCTGGCAATTCCGTACATTCCTTCAGCCCTGACCTTGAGTCTTGGCTAATCGTCAGTGTTTACTCTTGATTCGTCTCCTTCCACTCCCCGCTCCGAACGGATCTTCACTTGTATGAAACGGTGCATAAACAGATTACATTTTCCAAAGAAATGTTGAAAACTAAAATGTCAATGTTTCGCTGACAAAGATGTGGAACTTTGTCAATTTCTTTTATTCCTGGGGTAAATCAGCATGAAACAAAAACTGTCAGTCTAACGTTTGACAGTTACAAAAGATGCCAGGAAAGATGTTCAACTGCCCTCCACTCACTGGAATGTTGTGATGTCATATTAACGCAACCTTTTAATTCAAGCAATCAGGAGCAACAATATTTTGGATTTCAATTAGGTTTGCGATTGATGTATTAAAGTGATAGTCTGACTCTAAATGAATTATACATTTTAGGAAATGTGTTAAATTGACCTCCTAGCCGTAAATGTTGATATAAAATAAGTCATTTTATTAATTCTAATAATACAGACAAGTCCCGCCTTCCCTTCTCTTAGCTATAGTTCAGAATCCACGATGCCGTCCACGTTAACCAATCGAGTCGTGCCAAGGGTTGTCAATCATCAGCGCTCATGCTCAGTTGTTTGTTTTCATGGAGCCTCCGAATCAAGCCTCCATTAGGCTCTGGAACTACATGAAAACTGAACAAAGGATTCTGAACATCCACGCTGAGGTACTTATGTATATACTGAACCTATATCCATAATCATTTATATACTGAACTTATATCCATAATCATTTATATACTGAACCTATATCCATAATCATTTATATACTGAACCTATATCCATAATCATTTATATACTGAACCTATATCCATAATCATTTATATACTGAACCTATATCCATAATCATTTATATACTGAACCTATATCCATAATCATTTATATACTGAACCTATATCCATAATCATTTATATACTGAACCTATATCCATAATCATTTATATACTGAACCTATATCCATAATCATTTATATACTGAACCTATATCCATAATCAGATCCTCTGCAGATGTGTCGTATAATGTGCAATTAATGATAATAGCACTTCCGGGTTTACCACAGTCGCTTTTTTTGTGCATAAAAACATTATTTTTTTCATTAAAACGTTAACAAATAATTCTGAAAACCTCCGTGCATGTGTATTCATAATGTATATGTATAATGTGTTCTCTGATTAACATTTTAAAGTGTTACGGAAACTTAGGTGTAGACCAATCAGAAAGGAAGGGGGTGGGAGCTTACGACGTTTTTTTCAAATCAAGTACCTCTCTGTCTCTCTTTCAGACAATCACTTTAATAGATTTTGTTGGCAAAAGAAATAGTCATTTTGTTTACTTTCATCTACAAGGTTTGGGTAGAAATGGGAAAGGTAGAAATGATGATGGATTCTAACTTTTTTTTTTAACCTTTTTGAGATTGCTTAGGCAGTTTCATTTTGTCATTTTAGTACATTATTCTTTCTGTTCCAGTTAAGTGATGTACGCAATCTCTTTGGGGAAAGTATTTATTTATTTATTTCAAACCTTGTTGTTTTATATCATGCTGTAGGACAAATACAAGATGCACACAACACAATACAGACACACCCACACAAACACAAACAGGCAAACAAAACTAATCCAAAAATGACATGCATTTCAGAACCTTATCGTAGGTTGAAGTTTAATAGCAATTAATCTGGTCTCCCTATTTGAAGATGTATTTTTCTTTTTGGTAGGTAAAAGTGTGGGAAATTCCTCCTCATGGCGTATTCAAGAACATCACGACACCATGGAAAGAGCTGCAGGGCCACAGTCGGAGAGTGGGCCTCGTCGAGTGGCATCCCACGGCCAACAACATCCTCTTCAGTACTGCGTATGACTACCAGGTAATGGTGGAACCAGAATGTGCAATCTAGACTGGAACTTTCTCTGCAAATTTTAAATACATTAAAAAGTTGTTCCATTGCAGTAATACATAATGTCAAATGCAGAAAGTCCAATTGAAATATAGTGGATTTGGATTGAGTCTTGGAAAACAAAAAGATCCAGACAGCAGTCTTGCTCACATAATGGATAACCTGAAAGACTTATTTAGTATGAATCACAGCTCAAATGAAAAGTACTATTGTATTCAATGCTGCCTGTAATGGAAAAAAATTTAATATAAAATCAATCTAATCTATAGTTGTCACATTCTGTCACATCCTCAGATAATGTTTTTCTCACCTTCCAGCCAATCAGCCCTCAGTCCAAAGAGTCAAATAGTGACTTACAGGGCTCCATCTTGTGTGGCAAAAGATAACATTGTCTAATATGATATAAGGGCATAATATTGTGGTTTGATTTGGCATTTGACATTATACTTTAACAAAACATTGTTTGGACAATCAACATGTATTTATGAAGGAAGTGAGGTTATGTTTTCTGCTTTTGGACTTTTCCCTGTTTAGACTTAATGCAAAATATTAATCCAAAGCTAACATGTGTTTGTCTGTAGATAATGGTGTGGAACCTGGACTGCCCGGAGCAGGTTATCAAAAACCCTGTGCGGACTATCTCGCACCACCCAGACGTGGTTCTGTCCATGTCCTTCAACACGGACGGCACGCTCCTCGCCACGTCCTGCAAAGACCGTAAAGTCCGGCTGATGGATGCACGCTCAGGGACAGTCCTGCAGGTACAAAGGCTGACCGCGACCTCGCTAAACACTCAAGCATCACCTGCCAAGCAGCTTTTAGAGGTTACTCCTGTGTCTTTAGGTGCAGGAGAAAGATGCAGATGTCCTTCTGTTCATCAAAGTGCTCATGATAAGAGCCTGCTGATACAATATGTATCCAGATATCCAGGACTTTCATCCCTGTGTCCAATCCCCCTCCCGATTTGAACAAAAATGCAAAATTGATGCATTTAAATTTCTTTTAATGAAGATGAATTATTTGTTAGATATTTGGACTTTAAAATCAAAGTATGAATTCATAAGAAAAAAGAGATATCAATAATATCAGTAACGTACAAGCAACAACCATACTCTTAGTGTTCTCAAGTTATTACTTCACTTTCTAAAACATGAAATGAAAGTAAATAGTCTAACAACCATTTTTTGATGCACACAAATGCATTACATTTCTCCTCTCAAAGTAACGCTTTGATAATCTTGCTATTAGTAAATGCGATAATACAATAACCACATTGATTATACTTAAAGTAATAGTACATCTTTTGCATTTTCTTCATCATTTTTGAGCATGCTTGTATATTGTATAAGTGGGAGCTGCGGCTGAGGCGATGATCCAGCACCACACAGCCAAAGTTAACACCTCTGCTCTGGACCTCTGGGTCAAACGCCCAGTGACTGACGCTGCATGTTTCTGTCTGCAGCCAACAAGCTGGAAAGCAGTGTTACATAAGCGTTACATAGGAAGTGTGTTTGGAAACAAACCTATGGGTTTCTGTGGTCACAATGAAAAGTTATTTTGTAAACAAAACGGGACAAAAGAAAAGCACAAATGCACATATGGAAACATTTCTCTTGATTTCTTAACAATTTCCATGCTCGCAATTATGAAATCGCAAGGACTGTCATCTTTTTTTCCCTTTTTTTTACATTCTTTGCAAACAAAATAGGGCCTAAAAATGAGGAGGATTATATTTGGAAAAAAATTAAATTAAACCTTTTCTGAAATCTGTGAGAAGTGTGTACAAGGTAATTTCAAATGGGTATTTAGCCAAAATTGTGCAGCCCTACCATCATTCATAGACCTTCAGTTGTTTTTGGATCCATCAATGCAAATACCAGAAACTTGGCACAAACTGAGTCACTCGTTTGTGTCTTCTTTGATGCCTGATGATTGTTTGTTCGTTACAGGAGGGAAACTGCAAAGCACACAGAGCACACAAGGCCCTGATACTGGGGAACATGAAGATGCTGGTGACAAGTGGGACCTCGAGGTGGAACGACCGGCAGATTGCATTGTGGGATATGGTGAGACTGGCACCTACGGCACCACACACACCAAACAACCCCTGCGTAATGACAGGCCTTACATGGTTCTGCATAATCTGTGGAACATACAGTCATGTGACTAATCCCAGGAGTTATACCTCCCTCTCCTAATTACAGGAGGAGGAAACTTTTTGAAGATGGAAAACTCTCACTCTCATTACATTCCCGTTCGTGGGGAAATTTCAATATCACTGTTGCGCACATTACAGCAGAATAGAAGTGAAAGCATAATAAAGGGATGCAAATGAAAGCAAAATTATACATATTTGTGTGTTTTTTAATAAACATTGGGGTTTGCAGATTTACAAGCGTTCTCTTTTGCTGTAATCATAACAGAATGGCCTTTGGGGTTAGTTGGTTTAGTTTATTGAGCAGGGACAATGTATAAATAACATGTTTGATAAAGGGCCGTGCACATTAATGAATATTTGAGCCATAAAATACCAAAAACGCTGTTGTCACTGGGCAGGTGAGTACACTCAAAATACACATTGGAATTATAAGAAAAACAAAAAACTACAAAAAATGCATCCATCCATACAAAAAACTATAAAAAATGCAAGATATTACAATTATAAAACAAAGACGTCACAAGCTTTGCGCATCTAGATAAGCTTTGCCTATTTAAATTGTCCCACTGTGTCTTTGAACAAGGTTAGTGCTCAAAATACAAAACAACTTATGTACATGAAAAGACAAAGTCATCAGAAATGTATCCGTTACATTTTCGTTAAAAAATGAAAGTCAGAACAGCTCCATTCTGTGTATTTTTTTTTCTGTGGGGTTGGGGAAGGTTAAAAAATGTCTAACAAAAGCACTCTTGCAGAATGGTAAATAAACGTGCATAGATGTGACCTTGACCTCTCATGTTTTGAATATTCAAAGCAGCAAACAAATCACTTGCCTCATTTTTCTACCACCTGACGCCGAGTGGCCCAATGACTGATTCCATTCAATTTTATTTGTACAGATGAAACTCAGAAAATTAGATATGTTATTAATTAGGCTCAATGCATGCAAAGTTACATATGCCAAGTCTTTGAGGCTGTAGATCCAGGAGGCTGTGGTTGTAGATCCAGGAGGCTGAGGCTGTAGATCCAGGAGGCTGAGGCTGTAGATCCAGGAGGCTGAGGCTGTAGATCCAGGAGACTGAGGCTGTAGATCCAGGAGGCTGAGGTTGTTGATCCAGGAGACTGAGGCTGTAGATCCAGGAGACTGAGGCTGTAGATCCAGGAGGCTGAGGCTGTAGATCCAGGAGGCTGAGGTTGTAGATCCAGGAGACTGAGGCTGTAGATCCAGGAGGCTGAGGCTGTAGATCCAGGAGACTGAGGTTGTAGATCCAGGAGACTGAGGCTGTAGATCCAGGAGACTGAGGCTGTAGATCCAGGAGGCTGAGGCTGTAGATCCAGGAGGCTGAGGCTGTTGATCCAGGAGACTGAGGCTGTAGATCCAGGAGACTGAGGCTGTAGATCCAGGAGGCTGAGGCTGTAGATCCAGGAGGCTGAGGTTGTAGATCCAGGAGACTGAGGCTGTAGATCCAGGAGGCTGAGGTTGTAGATCCAGGAGACTGAGGCTGTAGATCCAGGAGGCTGAGGCTGTAGATCCAGGAGGCTGAGGTTGTAGATCCAGGAGACTGAGGCTGTAGATCCAGGAGACTGAGGCTGTAGATCCAGGAGGCTGAGGCTGTAGATCCAGGAGGCTGAGGCTGTAGATCCAGGAGACTGAGGCTGTAGATCCAGGAGACTGAGGCTGTAGATCCAGGAGGTTGAGGCTGTAGATCCAGGAGGCTGAGGCTGTAGATCCAGGAGGCTGAGGCTGTAGATCCAGGAGGCTGAGGCTGTAGATCCAGGAGGCTGAGGCTGTAGATCCAGGAGGCTGAGGCTGTAGATCCAGGAGGCTGAGGCTGTAGATCCAGGAGACTGAGGCTGTAGATTCAGGAGACTGAGGCTGTAGATCCAGGAGGCTGAGGTTGTTGATCCAGGAGACTGAGGCTGTAGATCCAGGAGACTGAGGCTGTAGATCCAGGAGGCTGAGGCTGTAGATCCAGGAGGCTGAGGCTGTAGATCCAGGAGGCTGAGGTTGTAGATCCAGGAGACTGAGGCTGTAGATCCAGGAGACTGAGGCTGTAGATCCAGGAGGCTGAGGCTGTAGATCCAGGAGGCTGAGGCTGTAGATCCAGGAGGCTGAGGCTGTAGATCCAGGAGGCTGAGGTTGTAGATCCAGGAGACTGAGGCTGTAGATCCAGGAGACTGAGGCTGTAGATCCAGGAGGCTGAGGCTGTAGATCCAGGAGGCTGAGGCTGTAGATCCAGGAGGCTGAGGTTGTAGATCCAGGAGACTGAGGCTGTAGATCCAGGAGACTGAGGCTGTAGATCCAGGAGGCTGAGGCTGTAGATCCAGGAGACTGAGGCTGTAGATCCAGGAGACTGAGGCTGTAGATCCAGGAGACTGAGGCTGTAGATCCAGGAGGCTGAGGCTGTAGACCCAGGACTGAGGCTGTAGACCCAGGACTGAGGCTGTAGATCCAGGACTGAGGCTGTAGACCCAGGACTGAGGCTGTAGATCCAGGACTGAGGCTGTTAAAGCAGAAATGTCAGTCCAGGATCCACATTGACCTCATCGTCCACTGGTCCAAGAACTTTGCAAAATGAATCCATGAATCAGATGACACAGTCTTTCAGACTTTGGACCCAGTGGGTTTTGGGAATTTCCCCAGTGGTCTTTTATCACATCTTTATCCAATCATTGTCTTGACAAAAAAAACAATATTTCACATTCTTAAACATGAAATACCAAAGTTAAAGGGCAAAAATAAACACAGCATTCCATGAGTTTGGAGTTTTTGAATGAATACATTTCTGCCTGTCACGAGACCAAAAGCAATAAAACTATGGAATTGGTTTTTCTCCAGTCCACAGGCCCCTCCCCCTCCGGAGCAGTCGTGGGAGGAGAAACCGTCCAGCGTCAGCCATCTTGGATTGGAGGACTTCAGAGAGGCCCTGAAGAAGAAGAAACACGCGCTGGTCATGTTCTACGCTCCATGTGAGTCATTCTCATTGTCTACCATTTTTTTTCTGCAGGCACAAAAGTGTGATGGACTCGAGGTGTTTTTCTATTGTGGGCAGTAGGGAAAGGTTGGCGTGTTGTTTAGACCCAGGTTGTCTCTTTATTTCAGGAATGTGTCAAAATGAAAGGGTCAAAACGGAGAGAGAGAGAGAGAGAGAGAGAGAGAGAGAGAGAGAGAGAGAGAGAGAGAGAGAGAGAGAGAGAGAGAGAGAGAGAGAGAGAGAGAGAGAGAGAGAGAGAGAGAGAGAGAGATAACTAACAAACAGTTCTGACTTTCATGCCTCTGTCTCTAGGACTTAAAGTGGTCCAAAACATGGTCCAAGTAAGAATCCAGAGCAGGCGATGACAAATGACTCAAAAGCCTGTAATGCTTTGGCTCGTCACTGCAGGTTTGATTTCCTGGTTTTATTCCCTTCTTTCTTGGTGACTGTGAAAAACAAGCGTTCTCTCTTGGACGTGGCTCAGAGCTCCTGCCAAACTGTGAGCAGCCGACTCCACCCGGACCTTTGGGGAACTCAAAAGTGATTCACATTTCTCAGAATAGAGCTGTCCACGAGAAATAAACAAGCTTTTTTAATATTTTTACTGTGATGACGAGAAGCACCCATTCCAAACGTCTTTCCTTTTCAACCGAATGAAATGCAGATCTAAAATAAAGTAAAAGAGTGGCAATAGCAGGACCGGACTGAAAAAACCTGTTATTAGGCCCGAGCCCCGAACGGGGAAAGGGCCTATTGTTTTTGCTCGAGAGATGTCAAATTCTGCACTTTGAGCCTTAATTTGACCCCCTGAACATGCATGAAAAGTTGTTAAATTTTGCCCAAATATCAGACCTGGCGAAAAATTTGATATTTTGGTGTTTATTTTAATGGGACTCCAAAAATGCCGGAACAGCGCCACCTACAGCAGCCAAAATAATACCCCTATGGGACTTTTAGAGATCAAGTTTGTCGTAGAGCCATGAAATTCGGTACACATGTTCCTATAGTCAAGACAAGAAAAAAAATATTATTATGGCTCCACCCCCTGACAAACAGGAAGCCAGAAATTTCACTGCAAAATGGCAAAATGAACAGCAAAAGTTTTCATACATGTTTGTTGGAAAGCGACTCCTCCTCGGCCGTTTCACCGATTCGCCTCAAAATCGCTCCACATCATCTCAACACATGTACCTTCAAAATGACCTCAGGGATTTTTGATTAGTGAAACATTGTTTGAGCAGCGGAGCGGCAAAATGTGACCTTTTTTGGCTCTTTTTGACAACATTAATTTTGCTCCTGTTTGCACAAACAAAGTCTGATTTGCACAAAACTTTAATCCATTGTTCAATTCTAGGGTTTAGGTCAGGTTAAAGTGAAATATTGGAAATTGGCCCATTAGCGCCCCCTACAGACTGTATCAAAGTTTACATGGGGAGCCAAACCAGCTCTACTTATCATATTCATTACAATTTGACTAACATTCTTCTATGGCTACGGACACAAATCATCACACGGCGGGACCACCTCCTTTTAGCGGTGCTGCGTGGTACGGTGTGGTGCGGCGTAGTGCGGGGCGTTGTGAAGCGGCGCTTTGCGGCTTGGTGCGGGGCGGCGTGAGGCGGGACAGCGTGGTGCAGGGAGTCGCGCGGTGCGGCGAGGGCCGTTCGACGCCGCTTGCGGCTTTAATTGCCACTCTTTTTTATTGTACATAATTATGTCCTGCACAGACTATAGTTTTCAAACCTGCAGAGGGAGAGAGACCCAAAAGTAGGGAGAGAGAGAGACACAGAGGGAGGTAAGAGAGAGGACCAGAGGGAGGTGGAGAGAGACCAGAGGGAGGGGGAGAGAGACCAGAGGGAGAGAGACCAGAGGTGGAGAGAGACCAGAGGGGGAGAGAGAGAAAGACCAGAGGGAGGGAGTGAGAGAGAAAGAC